TAAATAAATAAATAAATAAATAAATAAATAAATAAATAAATAAATAACCGTCAACGACTTCTTCAGCTCCAACCACAATAATACACGGGCAAATAATCGATACAAACTCAAGGGAAACCGCTCCAAACTCGAATGTAGAAAATGCGACTTCAGCAGCAGAGTGGTCAACGCCTGGAATGCTCTACCTGACTCCATTGTTACATCCTCAAACCCCCCCCCCACAGCTTCAACGTCAAACTGTCTAGCGTGGACCTCACCCCATTCCTAAGAGGTCCGTAAAGCGGGCGTGCATAAGCGCACCAGCGTACCTACCGTCTTTGTCCTAACAACCCCATTTATTCGTATCCATTTCATGTATTCATAATCATGTTTTTAAACCTGTATCTGTTAATACATGCTTGACGAAATAAAGAAATGGATAAATAAAAATATTGCACGGGAACCCCCAGCGTGGTCTCTGCTCCACAGATTGCCTATCGCTATCTGAGCAACAGGGAAGAAAGACGATTTGAGGCCACGGGAAGTAACTTTGCTACCACGCTTAAGGATATCGCTGAACTTCCCAGAAGGATTGACAGAACTGCCTGCCAATTCCTGCGCTTGGGTGAGCTGCTTTTGGCCCCAAATGAAAGGGGGAAAAAAACGTGGTCTGAAGAATTGTGACACCATCACTTACCCAACTGGTTGCTCTCCATCCCTCTGTTCACCAACGACTTCACTGGGGAGGCAGTCATAACAGTGGCTGATGATCCGTGGGACAAGGGAATTGGCCTCACGGGTTCTTTTTTGAGTTCTGACTTCTTCGGTTTTGAATTGGAGGCCCAAATGCAGGAAACTCTCTGGGTTTTTCCTCAGACGAGGCTGGGATAAATTACTAGAAGAACGGCCTTCTGTGTAGACTCACTCAAGTCTGCTCCAAACCTCTTAACGGATCGTCCTCCAGACCATCACAACCTTGTGTGGGTGCTTCATGTGTGCTTGGTGTGTGCTATGCTCAATGTGCGAGTCCTTCCTCTTCGGGTCTCTGGTAGTGTAGCAGGAAAGATTAGTCATTAATGCTGTGTAAGCAGTTGCCTGTCCGTCATCCTCTTAATCTTTAGTTTTCGAAGGTGGGACCATGAGCTCCATAATCAAAGAACGAGAAAGATTTCTGAAGATTTCTGTCAGCGAGCTCAGGAGGACAGCAGAATGCGATGGCCCCCACCCCCATCTTGACAGGGACTCTGGCCGCAACCATTTCTACGCCCTCCGGCTTCACACAACTGCCACTAACTTGTGTCCTTAGAGATTCCTTTTTGGAATATTCATTTATTGGCTGGCCAAATAGGCAGGGTGAGGGCCACTCAAGTTCCCAAGACGTTAGATCTTCTTCTTCTCTGATTCTACCACGTTGTCCTTGTCTCTGGTTCCTCCCCAGGAGCAAAGGGTTTGAAAAAAATCCACTCCACCTACAAGCACAGCTGCTGATCCCAACTGAATATTTCATAAGGCAGTTTTTTTTTTCCCCAGCGAGAAGAACGTACCACCTCGGCGAGCAGGTTCTGTATTATTGATGAAGGGGGAAAGGTGAGGCAGAAGCAATTGCGACACAGAAGTCAGGATATACGGCTCGTATTTATTTATTTAGAGATTTCATATTGCCGCCTACTCGCACATGGCGACTCAAGGCGGCTTACAAAAGACACAAAAGCACAATATAAAAGAAATAAGAAGAAAAATAAGAAAATAAGAAACACCCACACACACACAAACAAACACACAGTGGTGGGATTCAGCCGGTTCGCACCAATCCGGGAGAACCGGTTGTTAACTTTCTAAGCAGTTGGGAGAACCGGTTGTTGAAAGAAATCTCATTTTGCTTTTTCCCCACTTTGCAGGGCTAATCCTGTAAGGAAGGCAGGAAGGAGACATTCTGGTGTTGCTTCTAACCTCATCTTGATTGCCCTGCTTACAGAAACTGCCTCTCCGGTTTAACCCTTATCACATTGTAACAGCTGTGAAGCGCCCATTGACCTGAGTGACGTTGAGTTGACCACGCCCACCCAGTCACTTGACCCCCGAGCCACGCCCACCCAGT